CCACAAGCTGCCACTGGGATTTGTCTATAGAGAGATAGACAAAATGTAAATGTCGATTATAAAAAAAACCGTAAAAGATATCAAGATGATTGTTGCATTCCATTGGTAGCTGAACATCTCACGAGTTGAATAGAATATGAAATGGCGTTTCTAGCCTACGGTATGCCTGAGATATTAAGGTGCAACTTCTCATGAGTTGAATACAGTTGACAAGCAGCTGTTGACAGCATCTGCAGAGAGACACAGGGAGTGACAACCAGACGTGCATTTCTGCATTCAGTTTCAAACAAATAGAGCACCCTGTTGTGTTATTACACTGTTGTATTATGTCATGATATTAAACAAATTGAAGGAACCATGGCATTTTATAATTACAAAGACGTTTTCCTTCCAGCGCGTATTATTTGACTGCAAGTCAGGGAGCGAGAGACGCGGCGATGCGCAAATATGACACCCAATATACAGCGCTGTGTTGTGTTATTCCACTGTTGTATTATGTCAAGATTAAACAAAATGAAGGAACAGTTACGATTTACAAATATGCCGACATTTTGTTTCAGCGGATCTTCTGTATTGACTGTAAGTCTATGGAGCAGTGAGACGTATAGCATGAATGTCTTTGAAGAGCTGAACATTTTGATAACTGAAAGTATGCTGAAGTTAAATTTTCCCATTCATTTGAATGGGGCAAGATTTTCAAAACAAAGCTAAATGTTACAAAGGCATGGAGTTTAGAAAAATTCGGAATAAAAGCATGAATGTCTTTGAAGAGCTGAACATTTTGATAACTGAAAGTATGCTGAAGTTAAATTTTCCCATTCATTTGAATGGGGCAAGATTTTCAAAACAAAGCTAAATGTTACAAAGGCATGGAGTTTAGAAAAATTCGGAATAAAAGCATGAATGTCTTTGAAGAGCTGAACATTTTGATAACTGAAAGTATGCTGAAGTTAAATTTTCCCATTCATTTGAATGGGGCAAGATTTTCAAAACAAAGCTAAATGTTACAAAGGCATGGAGTTTAGAAAAATTCGGAATAAAAGCATGAATGTCTTTGAAGAGCTGAACATTTTGATAACTGAAAGTATGCTGAAGTTAAATTTTCCCATTCATTTGAATGGGGCAAGATTTTCAAAACAAAGCTAAATGTTACAAAGGCATGGAGTTTAGAAAAATTCGGAATAAAAGCATGAATGTCTTTGAAGAGCTGAACATTTTGATAACTGAAAGTATGCTGAAGTTAAATTTTCCCATTCATTTGAATGGGGCAAGATTTTCAAAACAAAGCTAAATGTTACAAAGGCATGGAGTTTAGAAAAATTCGGAATAAAAGCATGAATGTCTTTGAAGAGCTGAACATTTTGATAACTGAAAGTATGCTGAAGTTAAATTTTCCCATTCATTTGAATGGGGCATAACTTTCAAAATAAAGCTAAATATTTCAAAGGCATGAAGTTCAGAAAACGTCAGAATAGAAGCATGAATGTCCTTGAAGAGCTGAACATTTTGATACCTGAAATAGCTGAAAGAATGCTGAATGTAGAATTTGCTTCTTCATTTGAATGGGGCAGGATTTTCAGAACAAAAATAAAAGGGGGAGGGGGAATAACAACAGAGGGAAGGGGAGCTACAAAATTGGAAGGGAGGCAAGCAATATTGGCAATAGATGAACAAAGAAAGCATAAAAGATGGAAAAAGAACAAAAAGTGATGCGAAGGGGCAAACAGGACAAGATGTAGGACTGAATATGGAGTGAAAATATCAAAAAGATGTTTACGGTATGAATAGCTGAAGAGTTGCTGAATAGTTATTAGTTGAAATTGTGTTTTTAGCTGAAGGTATGCTTAAGATATTAAGATGTGAAAGTTTTCCCATCCTTTTGAATGGGGCAAAATTTTGGTGAAAAAAGCTAAATAGTTTAAAAAGTATAAATGTTACAAACAATAAAAATACAAGCACACATGTCCTTAAAGAGTTGAACCTTAATGGCTGTTGTAGCTGAAAATATGTTGAAAAAAATTAAGTGCCGAAAAATGGACGGAAGAAATCAGAAAAATAATAATAAAGAACAGGATAACATAGTGTGGATGCTGTACATAGTGTGGATGCTGGGAAGGTATTCTGTTCTTTTTTTTCTTCCGTCCATTTTTTGGCACTTAATTTTTTCAGCATACTTTCAGCTACAAAAGCTTCACAGCATCCACACAATAAAGAACAGTATAACACAGTATGGATGCTTTACAGCATCCACACAATAATGCTGCTGCAGTTCATTGAGTTGTCCACTTTCAACAACACCAGCAACAGGAGTTGTGTGCGTTCACAAACTATCCTCTCATTTTTAGGAGGAAGCTCTGGTTTTATTGTTTTGAAATAATTACATCATCACTATTTGGAGTGATGATGGTGCCAAGCTAATCTAGAGGTACACATGATTAAACATCTAATGGCTCAAAATGAGCAGCCATGGGCTCTTTAAGTTCAGCATCCATGCCTTACATTTTATATTTAAATATTTAGCTGTCTTCCATTGTCATTAGGGTCAACAAAGTGCAAGTCTGTATAATAGACAAAATCTTTATACATTTAATACATAATAATAAACTCCACATATTATAAGAATCCAAAGTGGATCATTTTATCATCATAGTTGGGTTAAATGACTTATAATCTAAATGTTAACCCAGAGCTAGAGTCATCACAGAACAGCAGCCTATGAAGCAGTCTATGAAGTGACTGTAATGCTGAGCTGTCACTGATAGATGGAAGCTTTTGCACAGGCTCAGTCTCAGGTCTCCATTTTCACTAATTCTTTTGAATCATATTGTATGTTTGATAATCTTATCAAAGTAATGATGATGACAGTGATGTTGTCTTCCCTGCTCTGCTACCTCATTCTTTTCCCACAATGTCAGTTCTGGCTTCTCCTGCTCCAGTTTCTGAGAACGGTCCACCACAAAGTAGATGATGTAGATGCTGCCAGCCAGAGACAGCAGCACCAGGATGTTGGCTAGGATACGAAGACTGATCAGAACGGCCCTGAAGACACACATACAGGTAAATACATTCACTAGATAGAGAGCACAGACTTCATCTTCAAAAACATATACTGTTTCCAGAACTGTTAGAGCTCTGCTCACGCCTTTGCTGCCATACCTGCTTGCAATACTACACATTCATTTCATTGGTTGCTACTGCTGACTTTACTATGGTTTAAATAGCAAGTTATTGTCACTCTGAACTCCCTGCTCTGCTGAAATCAATGTGTCCTTGTGGTGGGTGAGGAGGTCAGACACTAGATGCCCATCTCCATCATACAATAGTCTACTCCATGGGACCCATATGATTGAACTGATGTAAAAAGTCAAACTGTACTCAACTGAATAAAAATGTCAAATTAAATATAGGTCAAAAAAGAATTTTAAAAACCTATTTACTTTTTAAAACCTTTGATTACAAACACCAGTATGTTAGAGTGGACAATGGCATCTGGTACATAGAGAGGGGGGATACAAGGTGGTTGTTTATTACACATTTATTACATCTTCTTTCATAGCAGACATTACCTCTTACTGATTTACTGTCAGTTTTTATAAATTATCTCAAGATTTGTGCTCATCAATGTGTATAAATTGTATATATTTCACAAGCTAGGTACTGTAAATCAGCTGGATTTACAGGGGAAACAAGCAGACAGGTTTATGGTGTCACTGTTTGGTTGTTTCAGCCAACCTAACAGGAGGAACACTATTCAAGAGCATGCACTGAAAACATGCGAAGACAAGACACACAAGTAATAAGTACACCTACAAACTAGTATCCTTCTTCTTTTCTTGCTCCTCAACAATGGCTTCCTGTGCAAAAAACCATTTGGTACATGTTTAACAGTAAAACATGGTCAGTTACAGTTTCTGACATATAGTATTCAAACATCAATACAAAATATATGAGGGAAAAGGAGATGTCTTAGCTTGGAGGGTTACTGAAGCTACAAGTGTAGCTGGATATGTACAAGTCATTGAGTTTGGACATTGTGTGTCCTTGTGTTTGTCTGACCCTGATGTTGTTGACAATGGCAGCTCCTTTGCTCTCTGCAGCTTCTGGGTTTCCTATCAGGTAATCCCAGGCACAGAAAACTCTCCAGCAAAATGTGAAGTTCTCATCAGAGGCACTGGCCAGGCTTAGACGAGAATTCTTGGCCATTCTGCAGGATAAATGTTATTAAGTGAATATTATTAAGCCATGCAATATGGTGTCATATCAACATTTTTGAATGGTGTTAGTCAGGCGATCAGTCAGTTGACCAGCCTAACAGTTTGGTTCAGAGCAAGAGTCTCAACAATGGCCAGATTTCCATTGAATTAGTGAATATGTATGATACCTAGAGAATCAATGGTTTTGTGACTTCTTAACCTTTCCTCTGGCACCACTTCCAGGATATATTTTGATAAGTGCCTATAATATAAAATGTTAATACATTTAAATGCATTTACAAAGTCCTGTTCATGGTCTCAAAGAAATACTTTATTGACTGACCTACAGTATAGAGATTCCCTCAGCACAAACTCACTGGTCTTATGGCCATGAGAATAATG